TAAGGCAAAAGAGCACAGTAACTCAGTATGTCAACCATACCAGAGGAGAAACTCTTCTTTCTTAACTCTTCTCCTGAAGATGTCACTTACGAACGTGTGCGAAAAGTTGAGCCCAAAAACTCAATTAACACGGTGCCAACCCGAAAACAATCATGGAAGCCTCCGAAATTAATTCTTGAATTATTGGATTTTTCCTGTTGATTTTTCGGATAATCTGGATATATCAGATTTTCTTGGATTTTTTTATTTTTTTGGATTTTTTCACCTTAAATAGGATTTGCTTCTCGAGTCGTGGAAATTTTTTATTGTTTTAAACTTTTTCGTTTTTTAATAATTTTTGGATTTTTCAGATTTTTTGGAATTTTTTATTTTTTAGTTCTTTTTTGTTTTAGAATTAGTGGATTTCTACGGTTTTTTGGATTTTTGAGATTTATTTAATTTTTTTGTTCGCTGGTTTTCAATTTTTAGAATTTTGAAATTATTGGATGTCTTGAATTTTTTGAATTTCTTGGGTTTCTTGAATTTTTTGGCCCTTTTGGATTTTTCTGGGATGTTGTTCATTCTTGGGATTTTTTGAATTATTGGGTTTCTTGGATTTTTAAAATTTTTGAATTTTTTAAAATCTTTGATTTTTTGAATTGTTTGGATTTTTTGTTTCTTTTGTTTTTTCTTAATTTATTGGGTTTATTCAATTTTTTCGATCTTTTGGATAATTTTTTAATTCCTCCATTTTTTTGGAATTTTTGGATTTTTGGATTCTTGGATTGTTGGATTTTTCGGATAATCCGGATATTTAAGATTTTTTGGGATTTTGTTTTCACCCTAAATAGGATTTGCTTCTTGGGTCGTGGATATTTTTGTTTTTTTTTTTAACTTTTTCAGTTTTCTAATTTTTAGAATTTTGAATTTTTTAGTTCCTTTCATGTTTTGGAATTATTGGATTTCTTCGATTTTTTTTAGATGTTTAGGATGTTTTACCCCGATTTTTTGGATTTTTGAATTAGGTTCCATTTTTTAGATTTTTTAAATTATTGGATGTCTTGAATTTTTCGAGTTTCTTAGGTTTCTTAAAATGTTTGATTTTTTAAATTTTTTGATTTTTTAGAATTGTTTGGATTTTTTACCTTTTTTGTTTCTGTTTGTTGTTTCTAATTTTTTGGATCTACTAAATATTTCCGATTTTTTGTTCCTCGATTTTTTGGATTTTTGGGATTTTTTTAAATTTTTTGTTCGCTGGTTTTCACTTTTTGGATTTTTGAAATTATTGGATGTCTTGAATTTTTTGAGTTTCTTAGGTTTCTTGAATTTTTTGGTCCTTTTGGATTTTTTTAGGATGGTTTTCATTCTTTGGATTTTTTGAAATATTGGGTTTCTTGCATTTTTTAAATTTTCGAACTTTTTAAAGTCTTTGATTTTTTGAATTGTTTGGATTTTTTGTTTCTTTTGTTTTTTTTTCAATTTGTTGGGTTTATTCAATTTTTTCGATCTTTTGGATATTTGTTTTAATCCCTCCATTTTTGGAATTTTTGGATTTTTGCATTCTTGGATTTTTGGATTTTTCGGATAATCCGGATATTTCAGATTTTCTTTTATTTTGTTTGGATTTTTTTTCACCCTAAATAGGATTTGCTTCTTGAGTCGAGGATATTGTTTAATTATTTAGTTCCTTTCATGTTCTGGAATTATTGGATTTCTTCGATTTTTTGGATTTTTGGGATTTTTTTTATTTTCTTCTGTTCTCGGCTTTTTTGGATTTTTGAGCTAGTTTCAATTTTTTAAATTTTCGGAATTTTGGATGTCTTAAATTTTTTCAGTTTCTTAGATTTCTTGAATTTTTGACCTTTTTGGATTTTTTGGGATGTTTTTCATTCTTTGGATTTTTTGAATTATTGGGTTTATTGAATTTTTTGATTTTTGAATTTTTTAAAGTCTTTGATTTTTTGAATTATGTAGATTTTTTACATTTTTGTTACATTTTGTTTTTCTAATTTATTGGACTTATTCAATTTTTTCGATATTTTTTTATTCCTCCATTTTTTGGAATTTTTGGATTTTTGAATTTTTCGGATAATCCGTATATTTCAGATTTCCTTGGATTTTTCTTGGATTTTTTTGGATTTTTTCACCTTAAATAGGATTTGCTTCTTGAGTCGTGGATATTTTTTAATTTTTTAAACTTTTTCATTTTTTAATAGTTTTTGGATTTTTTAGATTTTTTGGAATTTTTTATTTTTTAGTTCCTTTTTTGTTTTGGAATTTTTCATTCTTTGGATTTTTTGAATTATTGGGTTTCTTGGATTTTTAAAATTTTCGAATTTTTTAAAGTCTTTGATTTTTTGAATTGTTTGGATTTTTTGTTTCTTTTGTTTTTTTTTAATTTATTGGGTTTATTCAATTTTTTCGATCTTTTGGATATTTGTTTTAATTCCTCCATTTTTTGGAATTTTTGCATTCTTGGATTTTTGGATTTTTCGGATAATCCGGATATTTAAGATTTTCTTGGATTTTTTTTGGATTTTTTTTCACCCTAAATAGGATTTGCTTCTTGAGTCGTGGATATTTTTAGATTTTTTTAACTTTTTCAGTTTTCTAATTTTTGAATTTTTTGGATTTTTTTGGAATTTTGAATTTTTTAGTTACTTTCATGTTTTGGAATTATTAGATTTCTTCCATTTTTGTAGATTTTTAGGATGTTTTTACTCCGATTTTTTAGATTTTTTTAATTATTGGCCGCCTTGAATTTTTCGAGATTCTTAGGTTTTTTGAAATGTTTGGATTTTTTAAATTTTTTGATTTTTTAGAATTGTTTGGATTTTTTAATTTTTTAGTTCCTTTTGTGTTTTGGAATTATTGGATTTCTACGGTTTTTTGGATTTTTGGAATTTTTTAAAATTTTCTGTTCGCTGGTTTTCACTTTTTAGATTTTTGAAATTGTTGGATGTCTGGAATTTTTTAGTTTCTTAGGTTTCTTGAATTTTTTGGCCCTTCTGGATTTTTTTAGGATGTTTTTCATTCTTTGGATTTTTCGAATTATTGGGTTTCGTGGATTTTTTAAATTTTTGAATTTTTTAAAGTCTTCGATTTTTTTTATTGTTTGGATTTTTTGTTTCTTTTGTTTTTTTTTAATTTATTGGGTTTACTTTTTCGATCTTTTGGATAATTTTTTTAATTTCTCCATTTTTTGGAATTTTTGGATTTTTGCATTATTTTATTTTGTGATTTTTCGGATAATCCGGATATTTAAGATTTTCTTGTATTTTTTTGCATTTTTTTTTCACGCTAAATAGGACGAAGAAGGTCGTGGATATTTTTGGGTTTTTTTAACTTTTTCAGTTTTCTAATTTTTGGATTTTTTTATCTTTTTGGAATTTTGAATTTTTTAGTTCCTTTCATGTTTTGGAATTATTGGATTTCTTCGATTTTTTTAGATTTTTAGGATGTTTTTACTCCGATTTTTTCGATTTTTGAATTAGGTTCAATTTTTTAGATTTTTTTTAATTATTGGACGTTTTGAATTTTTCGAGTTTCTTAGGTTTTTCAAAATGTTTGGATTTTTAAAATTTTTGGATTTTTTAGAATTATTTGGATTTTTTACATTTTTTGTTTCTGTTTGTTGTTTCTAATTTTTTGGATCTACTAAATACTTTCGATTTTTTTTTGTTCGTCGATTTTTTGGATTTTTCGGATTTTTGGTATATTTTCCATTTTTTTAATTTTTGGATATTTTGGATTTTTAAAATTTTTGGATGTTTTCAATATTTTTATTTATCGGATTTTTATAATTTCTTGGTTTCTTGTATTTTCTTTTTTTGTGTCATTTTGGAATTTTTTAGATTTGTCAAATCTTTCGATTTGCAGTTTTTCGGTTTTCAATTTTTAGATTTTTTAATTTTTAGTTTCTTCAGTTTTAGATTTTTCAGTTTTTTATTTTTTCAATTTTTCATTTTAAATATGTAGTAATAATTTTTAAAATGTTTCACTTTTTGAATTTTACCATTTTTATTTTTTTCATTTTTCAGTCATTGAATTTTAAAACTTTTTCATTTATTCGATTTTTAATTTTCCAATTTTTGGGTCTTTTGGTCTCACAGTTTTTGATTCTATAATTTTACAGTATTTTTAGTATTCCAATGCTCCAATTTTTCGTTTCTTCAGTTCTATGATTTGCAATTTTTGTTTTTTTTTGGTTTTTCGATTTTTCAACTTTTCGAATTAAAAAAACGAAAAAAAAATGCAAAATTGTAAAACTGAGCAATCAAAAATGAAGGAACGAAAATGTATAAAATGAAAGTTTCGAAAATTCTAAAAACTGGAAATCAAGAACTTGAAAAATTGAAGAAACGAAAAATTCAAAAATTGAGAAACTTAAAAATTGAAAAAGTGCAAAATCGATAAAATCGAAATATTGAAAATTAAAGAAATTGGAAAATCGTAAAACTAGAATACTAAAAATTGCAAAATTGAAAAATTTAAAGTTGGAAAAGCGAGGAACTGAAATAATTTTGGTTAGTTATAGTTTTACCATCTACACGATATTCCTAGTATATAGTTGAGGTCATGAAACGTCTAAAAAACATGAAAGTTTGAAGTCGTCCGATGGACTCGCTGACTACAGTTCCTTAGCTACGCTCAAGTAGTAAAAATAGATAGTAATTGGGGTGAGTGAGTGGTGCGAGGGCTGCGAACAGCACCAAGTATTCATGCCTGGGAATTCTTCGCCAACTATGTAAACACATTAAAACTTCGCCCCTACATTTGAATGTAAATTGCAGCGTCGTAAATCATTACAAGTAACAACGATTATTATTGGAGTAATATACGTAAACGGTGGAAAGTCGGCAGGGATGTAATTTGCATGGGGCGGTTTAAAGTCTCCGTTTAAAATTCGCTACCGTAAAGGTCGTCACGCGACTAATTTATCAACCCTCGGGTCTGTCCTTGTATTTTTTTCTCGCCAGATCTCGGATAAGTATGGAGGTCGATCGAACTCGTGGACTCACCTGTACTGGCACGTCATCCCGTAGCCGAAGTCCCTCCAGAAGCCCGTGTCCCTCGAGATCACCAGCTGGTCGTTCTCCGACGGCACGTCGCGCCCCTGCAGCGTGTACACCACGTGGGGGTTGTACAGGCTGAACACCACCGGGTAGTACACCTTCCTGCCGGCCTCAGTGTTCCACCGGCACCGGTCCAGGAAGCGCGCACTGAACACCACGTCCACGTCGCACATGAACAGCAGCACGTCCTTCTTGTCGCCCCACAGGCGCTCCGCCCCCACGCGCAAACCCTTGCCCCGCGAGAAGGTCTCGTTGAGCGCCAGCAGGCGCAGGTTGTTGGCGTTGCCGCCGCTGTTCTTCGTCATGAGGACCCGCGACATGATGGCTCTGGCTTCCGACAGACCCTCCTCGCCGAAGTACACCACCGTGAGGTGCACCCGCCGGTCGTTCTTGAGTCCGATCTTCACGAACTTGTCCATGAAGCTCTGGAAGGTGGCGGTGCGGCCGGACAGCGGCAGGATGATGTGGATGAGCTCCTTGTCGCGGGGACCTGGGGAACACCACGAGAGAAAAGTTACAACTGGTATTATTATAGGTTCACAAACACAATACCCAGCGTTCAATCTGGGTCCATAACCTGTCATTGTTATAGTTTTATTGTGTGAAAGTATAAATACGGAATATTTTCTTCAACACTCCCCCTCGAGTATGAGTGTTGAGTAATGCGCAATTTTTCAATCTTGCAATTTTGCGATATTACAATTTTTCATTTTTCGATTTATCATTTTTCGTCTCCTCAATTTTAATAATAACAATAATAATAATAATAATAATAATAATAGTTTATTTTCCCACAGACAAACGTCCTTATGGGAACAAAAATACAAGTCTGGTATATGCGAATTTATAAAAAAAGAAGAAAAAACAACAAGAAGTTTGATGTTACAAGATTAGAAAAACGAGACAAAACAAAAATTTTTCAAATTTTTAATTTTTTCAATTTCATTTTCTCAGTTTTATATCACAATTTCTCGTTTTTTCATTTCCTTTAATTTTTCAATGTTTCTTTAGATTTTATTATTTTTGGTTTATTAATTTTTTCAAATTCTCAATCTTAGATGTTTCAATTTTGGAAAAACGAAAAATTGCAAAATCAAAAAGGGGAAAACTCAAAAGTTACAAATCGAAGAACTGAAGAAATGAAAAATTGAAACACTGAAAAACTAGAAATCGAGAAACTTAAAAATTAACATTCTAAAAATAATAATGGAATAAATGAAAAAGTTATAAAATCGAACAACTGAAAAATGGGAAAATTCTAAAATCGTAAAATTGAAAAGTGAAATATTTTAAAAATTATAGTTATTACATATTTAAAATGAACACTATAAAAACTGCAAATCAAAAATTGGAGAAACGAAAAATTGAAAAATCTGAAAACTGAAATCGAAAAATTGAAAACCCACAAATTGCTAATAGAAATGAACAAATCCAAAAATTGAAAAATTCCACACCGAAAAAAAGAATAAATATAAACTCAGGACATTGAAAAACCGAGTAATTGAAAAAATAAAAAAAAAAACGAAACAAAAAATTCCAAATAGAAAAATTAAAGATTTGAAATTTTTTTCATTTTTTAGTTCCTTTCATGTTTTGGAATTATTGGATTTCTTCGGTTTTTGGATTTTTGTCATTTTTTTATTTTTTTGTTCTCCGGTTTTTTGGATTTTGTAGCTAGTTTCCATTTATAAAATTTTTGGAATAATTTTATGCCTTGAATTGTTTGACTTTCTTAGGTTTTTCGCATTTTTTGGCCTTTTTGGATTTTTTGGGATGTTTTTCATTCTTTGGTTTTTTTGATTTATTGGGTTTCTTGAATTTTTTACATTGTTGGATTTTTTAAAGTCTTTGAGTTTTCACCTTAAATAGGAGTTGCTTCTTGAGTCGTGGATATTTTTGGAATTTTTTAAGTTGTGCAGTTTCCTAATTATTGGATTTTTTAGATTTTTTGGAATTTTGAATTTTTTAGTCCCTTTCACGTTTTGGAATTATTAGATTTCTTCGGTTTTTTTGATTTTTAAGATTTTTTTTCTCCGATTTTTTGGATTTTTGAAATTAGTATCCATTTTTTAGATTTTTGGAATTATTAGATGTCTTGAATTTTTCGAGTTTCTTAGGTTTCTTAAAATGTTGATTTTTTAGAATTGTTTGGACTTTTTACATTTTTTGTATCTGTTTGTTGTTTTTAATTTTTTAGATCTACTGAATTTCTCCGGTTTTTTTTGGATACTCTTCTTTGTTTCTCGATTTTTTGGAATTTTGGGATGTTTTCCATTTCTTGAATTTTTGGATATCTTGGATTTTTTTATTTTTGAATATCTTCAATATCTAGGATTTTTGTAGTTTCTTGAGTTATTTTATTTATTTATTTTTTTGATCATTTTGGAGTTTTTTTAGATATGTCAATCTTTCGATTTGCAATTTTTAGATTTTTTGATTTTTTGTTTCTTCAGTTTTAGATTTTTCAGTTTCCGAATTTTCAGTTTTTTATTTCTTCAATTTTTAGTTTGCAGTTTTTCTAGTTTTCGTTTTAAATATGTAATAATAATAATTATCATTTTTAAAATGTTTCACTTTATGAATTTTAAGATTTTTTAATTTTTTAGTTATTTTAAACTTTTTCCTTTATTCGATTTTCAATTTTCGAATTTTTCGATCGTTCGGTGTCACCGTTTTTCGATTCTATAATTTTACAGTATTTGGGTTTTCGAATTCATGAACTTCTTTATTTGTTAAGTTTCTCAATTTTTAGTTTTTCAATGTTTCAATTTTTCGCTTCTTCAGTTCTTCGATTTTCCGATTTTCCACTTTTTCGATTTTGCACTTTTTCGATTTTCACGTTCCTCAATTTTAATCTTTATACTTTTAAATTTTTCGTTGGTTCAATGTTTGATTTTTAACTTCACAGTTTTGCAATTTTTCCATTTTTTCGATTCGAAAAACTGAAAAAAATAAAAATTGCAAAATCCAAAATCGAGAAACTTAAAAATTAACATTCTAAAAATAATAATAGAATAAATGAAAAAGTTATAAAATCCACCAACTGAAAAATGGGAAATATTTTAAAAATTGCAAATCAAAAATTGAAGAAACCAAAAATTTGAATATATGGAAACTGAAAACGAGGAATTAAAAAATCCAAAGGCCGAAAAACCGAAAAATTGAAAACCCACAAATTGCTAATAGAAATTAACAAATCCAAAAATTGAAAAGTTCCACACCGAAAAAAAGAATAAATATAAACTCAGGACATTGAAAAACCGAATAATTGAAAAAATAAAGAAAAACGAAACAAAAAATTGCAAATAGAAAAATTAAAGATTTGAAAAATTTTTCGTTTTTTCGACTTCCAAATTTTTTCAATTTTTCATTTTTTACTTCCTTTCATGTTTTGGAATTATTGGACTTCTTTGGTTTTTGAATTTTTGGCATTTTTTTATTTTTTTGTTCTCCGGTTTTTTGGATTTTTTAGCTAGTTTCCATTTATCAAATTTTTGGAATAATTGGATGTCTTGAATTGTTTGATTTTCTTAGGTTTTTTGCACTTTTTGGCCTTTTTGGATTTTTTAGGATGTTTTTCATTCTTTGGATTTTTTGAATTATTGGGTTTATTGAATTTTTTAATTTTTTAATTTTTCAAAGTCTGATTTTTCAATTATTTGGATTTTTTACATTTTTTGTTATTTTTGTTTTTTCTAATTTATTGAACTTATTTAATTTTTTCGATATTTTTTTTATTCCTCCATTTTTTGGAATTTTTGGATTTTTGGATTTTTCGGATAATACAAATTTCAGATTTTCTTGAATTTTTCTTGGATTTTTTTGGATTTTTTCAGCTTAAATAGGATTTGCTTCTTGAGTCGAGGATACATTTTAATTTTTTAAACTTTTTCGTTTTTTATTAATTTTTGGATTTTTTAGATATTTTGGAATTTTTTATTTTTGAGTTCCTTTTTTGTTTTGGAATTATTGGACTTCTACGGTTTTTTGGATTTTTGAGATTTTTTAATTTTTTTTCTCTGGTTTTCACTTTTTAGATTTTTGAAATTATTGGTTGTCTTGAATTTTTTGGCCGTTTTGAATTTTTTTAGGAAGTTTTTCATTCTTTGGATGTTTTGAATTATTGGGTCTCTTGATTTTTTTTTCTTTTGTTTTTTTTTTTGGATAATTTCTTTAATTCCACCATTTTTTGGAATTTTTGGATTTTTGGATTCTCGGATTTTTGGATTTCTCGGATAATCCAGAAATTTAAGATTTTCTTGTATTTTTTTTAGGATTTTTTTTCACCCTAAATTGGATTTGCTTCTTGAGTCGTGGATATTTTTGGATTTTTTTAACTTTTTCAGTTTTCTAATTTTTGGCTTTTTTGTCTTTTTGGAATTTTGAATTTTTTAGTTCCTTTCATATTTCGGAATTATTTTATTTCTTCAATTTTTTTTAATTTTTAGGATGTTTTTACTCCGATTTTTTGGATTTTTGAATTAGGTTCCATTTTTTAGATTTTTTTAATTATTGGACGTCTTGAATTTTTCGAGTTTCTTAGGTTTTTTAACATGTTTGGATTAAAGAAAAAAAGAATATATATAAACTCAGGACATTGCAAAACCGAATAATTGAAAAATAGAAAAAAAACGGAACAAAAAATTGCAAATAGAAAAATTAAAGATTTGAAAAATTTTTCGTTTTTTCGACTTCCAAATTTTTTCAATTTTTCATTTTTTAGTTCCTTTCATGTTTTGGAATTATTGGATTTCTTTGGTTTTTGGACTTTTGTCATTTTTTTATTTTTTTGTTCGGTTTTTTGGATTTTGTAGCTAGTTTCCATTTATAAAATTTTTGGAATAATTTGATGCCTTGAATTGTTTGACTTTCTTAGGTTTTTTGCATTTTTTGGCCTTTTTGGATTTTTTGAGATGTTTTTCATTCTTTGGTTTTTTTGATTTATTGGGTTTCTTGAATTTTTTACATTGTTGGATTTTTTAAAGTCTTTGATTTTTTGAATTGTTTGGATTTTTTACATTTTTCGTTTCTTTTTGTTTTTTCTAATTTATTGGGTTTACTCAATTTTTTTTATTTTTTGGACAATCTTTTTTATTCCTCCATTTTTGGAATTTTTGGATTTTTGGATTTTTGGCTTTTTGGATTTTTCAGATAATCCAGATATTTCTGATTTTCTTGGATTTTTTTTGGATATTTTTCACCTTAAATAGGAGTTGCTTCTTGAGTCGTGGATATTTTTGGAATTTTTTAAGTTGTTCAGTTTCCTAATTTTTGGATTTTTTAGATTTTTTGGAATTTTGAATTTTTTAGTCCCTTTCACGTTTTGGAATTATTAGATTTCTTCGGTTTTTTTGATTTTTAGGATTTTTTTTCTCCGATTTTTTGGATTTACTAAATTAGTATCCATTGTTTAGATTTTTGGAATTATTCGATGTCTCGAATTTTTCGAGTTCTTAGGTTTCTTAAAATGTTGATTTTTTAGAATTGTTTGGACATTTTACATTTTTTGTATCTGTTTGTTCTTTTTAATTTTTTGGATCTACTGAATTTCTCCGGTTTTTTTGGATAATCTTCTTTGTTTCTCGATTTTTTGGAATTTTGGGATGTTTTCCATTTCTTGAATTTTTGGATATCATGGATTTTTTTTATTTTTGAATATCTTCAATATCTAGGACTTTTGTAGTTTCTTGAGTTATTTTATTTATTTATTTTTTTGATCATTTTGGAGTTTTTTTAGATATGTCAATCTTTCGATTTGCAATTTTTAGATTTTTTGATTTTTTGTTTCTTCAGTTTTAGATTTTTCAGTTTCCGATTTTTCAGTTTTTTATTTCTCCAATTTTTAGTTTGCAGTTTTTCTAGTTTTCGTTTTAAATATGTAATAATAATTATTATAATTTTTAAAATGTTTCACTTAATGAATTTTACGATTTTTTAATTTTTTAGTTATTTTAAACTTTTTCCTTTATTCGATTTTCAATTTTCGAATTTTTCGATCGTTCGGTGTCACCGTTTTTCGATTCTATAATTTTACAGTATTTGTGTTTTCGAATTCATTAACTTCTTTCTTTTTTAAGTTTCTCAATTTTTACTTTTTCAATGTTTCAATTTTTCGCTTCTTCAGTTCTTCGATTTTCCAATTTTCCACTTTTTCGATTTTGCAATTCTTCAACTTTTCAAATGAAAAATCGGAAATCTATAAAATGAAAACTTCGAAAATTCTAAAAACTGGAAAACAAGAACTAGCAAAATTGAAGAAACGAAAACTTCAAAAATGGAAAGATTAAAATTGAGAAACTTAAAAATTGAAAAAGTGCAAAATCGATAAAATCGAATTTTAAATCTAGAAACTGAAAACGAAAAATTAAAAAATCCAAAGGCTGAAAAATGGAAAAATTGAAAACCGACAAATTGATAATCGAAATTAACAAATACTCCTACAAAAACTGGAAAGTTTCACATTGAAAAAAAGAATAAATGTAAAATCAGGACATTGAAAAACCGAATAATTCAAAAAATAAAGAATAAAAAAACCGAAACCAAAAATTGCAAATGGAAAAATTATAAAGATATGAAAAATTTTTCGTTTTTTCATTTCTACAATTTCTCGATTTGCAATTCTGTAATTTTTCATCATTACAATTTTTATTTTTTTGAGTTTCCAGTTTCTCAATTTTCCATTTTTCGATTTTTAATTTTTCGTTGCCTCAATTTTCCGAGTTCTTAATTTTTAATTTCCATTAGTTCGGCTTTTTAATTTTCATTTTTTCAATTTTATGTCCCAGTTTTTCGTTTTTTCATTTTCTTTATTTTTTCAATGTTTCTTTCAATTCTATATTTTCGTTTATTCAATTTTTCAAATTTTCAACATAAGATCTGAATTTTTCAATTTTCGAAATTTTCCGGTCGTATGATTTTCCGATTTCTTTAGTTTTCAATATTTCGATTTTACAATACATATTATCGGTACGTTTATCACAAAATGCGCAATATAAATACAACTTAAGCTCAGAATCATATAACCCAGCGCTCAACCTGGGCCCATAACCTGTTATGGTTATAGCTTATTCTATGAAAATACAAAATATTTTTCAACAAAGACAAAAAAAGTGGAAAAATGAACCTGCGAGCGTCTGCGTGGCGATGGCCTGCACGGGCGCGAACGGCCGGAACACCACCACCTTGGTGAACCCCCCCGGGACGCCCTTGCGCCCGTTTTTAGTCCGAAAGTACAACTCGTACTGCGTCCCGGTGGTGGGCTCGCCGCGGTACAACCCCTCGAGGAAGTCGTCCAGGGTGTACTTGGTGAGCTTCTCGGTGGCGTTCTTGTTGAGAGTCTCTAGGGCCTTCATGAGACTCTCGAGTAGGTCCTTGCGCTTGAACCCGATGGGCTTCTCCACCACGCGCTTGCCCAGGCCCAGCTCGATGGGGTACACCCGGCTGTAGGTGAAGTGGTTGAAGGGCACCAGCTCGTATTCGTTGTTGAGTGGGATGCCGTGGAAGATCTCGGCCGCCATGGCCTGCTTCTTGACGAAGTTGGCGCAGTCGGCGTTGGATAGCGGCGACGCCGACGAAGACACGGACGAGTTGGCGTTGGCGGTGAAAGGCGAGTCGGGGGCGGAGGGCGCGCGGGGGTTACCTGAAACCAACCGACACATCAAATCTTGCAAACGCAGATTTGAATCTCCGAGACCTTCCACCAGGGTTCGGATCAGCCATCTATTCTAATTTTTCCCTCGGCGCGGCTCGCGAATTATCTAAATAATTAATAACAGAACTCGTCTGCCCTGGAAATTAATTTCGACGTAACTGGTTATGGAATAATAAATATTGATGAACCTTCTCGTAACGAAGGCACGAGTTTTAAGTTATGAAGTTTAGCCAAGCAGCGGATTAGCTTCAGTTTTCATAATTAAGATTAGTCCTCTCAATTTGATACGCCAGAAAGAAACAGCCGGCTAATTTTTCTCTTTTAAAAATAAAGCGGGATTTATTTTTTGTCGGGAACACGAGATGACAAACGACGATCGGATTAGGCTAACGTTTGCTCGCTTATTTTGCGCGAGCGGTACGATTAAAGGTCGAATTAGTCGGAAATTACAAAGAAGTTAAAAGCGAAACGGCTGATTGATTCGTGCTATTTCAATAACGGGGGAGGCAGTGACAAAGTGGACGATTGCTAGATGTGGTGAGAATAAAAGGCATTTTTTTCAACGATTTAATCGGATTTTTCTCACACCAACCCTCTTCCACACTTCGACGCACATGTATTTGGGGAAAAACGCACTCTACATGTCTCATAGACGCTATTGTGACGGATGATAATTAATAATTTTCAGGATATAAATAAAAAAATAATATACTTTTTACAGTTTCACAGTCAGATTTTTTTAATTTTGGCTATAAATTATGCTTTTCCCCCTTTCCGTCTCTCTGTCATCTGTCTGTCTGTGTGTCTGACGTCTGTGTTTATTAGACAAATAAATCTCTGATATCGTGTAGATGGTAAAGCGCTGATCAAATTTTGTCTTATCATCGCCACCAACAATGTTATGATGGCACCTCAAAATTGTACATAGCAAATGGGTTTTAAATTTTATAAAATATCATCCTACTAACATGTGTGGTTTATGAATCCGTCCTTATAATTTTTCGAAAAAGCTGGACTAGTTGTAGTGTACTCTAAGAGTAAGGAAAGTTCTCTATAAATAACTTTTAACCAATTTTTTCGAAATTTTTTCGACTGCAAATTTTTTTGATTCTACATTTATCAGATTTTCCAATTTCTCGATTTTTGAATTTTTCGATTTTTATTTTTCAATTGTTTGATATTTACATTTTAGAATTTTTTCGATTTCAAAATTTTTAGACTTTTCAAAATATAGTTATCAGATTTTTCAATTTCTTTCCTTGATTTTTGAACTTAATGATGTTTCAATTTCACGACTTTGCCATTATTTGATTTTTCAATTTTATAATTTTATAATTTTGCAATTTTTCATTTTTAGAGTTTAATAATTTTTCGATTTTACAATTATTCAATTTTGTAATTTTACAAATTTTCAGTTTTTCGATTTTTAATTCTTCAAAATTTAATTTTTAATTTTCCAGGTTTTCGATTTTTCAGTTTAATTATTATTTTGTAAATTGTCGTTTTTAATGGTTTCCGACTTGTCAATTTTTTGTTTTTTAATGATTCGAATTGCATTGTTCCGATTTTTTAGTTCAAATAATATTTCAAAATTTCGATTTCAAATTTTCCGAGTTTTTGATTTTTCATAAAATTTTGTAATTTTTGATTTTTCAATTTTATCAGGTTTTTAATTTCGTAATTCTTCAACTTCTTTCAACTTAATGATGTTTCAATTTTACGATTTTACCATTATTCGATTTTTCAATATAATTTTGGAATTTTTCACTTTTAGAGTTTAATAAATTTTCGAATTTATGATTATCCAATTTTTCATTTTTGTAATTTTATACTCCTAATTTTTTGCACTTATTTTATGCAGCAATTTTTCAATTTTGTAATTTTTTTAATTCTATTTTACAATTATTATCTAATTTTTCGATTTTTTGATATTTTTTTTTAATTAATCGATTTTCAGTTTTGTAATTTTGCAATTTTTCAGATTTACAGTTTAATAATTTTTATATTTTACAATTATCCAATTTTTCAACTTCGTAGTTTTGTAGTTTTTTTATTTTTCCGTTTTACTTCTTTACAATTTTTCGATTTTTCAATTGTCCGGTTTTTAATTAATCTATTTTTCAATTTTCAATTTTACAAATCTTCGTCTTTAAGATTATTCGTTTTTTCAATTATTCAGTTTATGATTTTTCAATTATCAGAATTACATTGTTTAAAATGTTTTGATTTTTAATTTTAATTTGTGCAATTTTTCAAATTTACAGTTTAATAATTTTTTAATTTTTCACATTTATGTTTTCACAATTTTTCAATTTCCACTTTCTTAGTCATTCGTTTTTAAAATTTTTCGTCTTTTAAATTTGTCTGCTTTTTCAATTATTCAATTTTAAAAATATGGGACTTTTCAGTTTTGTAATTTTGTAATTTCTGATTTTTAATGTTATATTTTTACAATTTTTCGATTTCTCAAGTGTCCAGTTTTTAATAAATCAGGTTTTCAATTTCTTCATTAATGAAGTTACAATTTTGCAATTTTTCAGATTTACAGTTTAATAATTTTTCGATTTTATAATTATCCAATTTTTCAATTTTGTTTTTTTACAAATTTCAAATTTTTTGATTTTCAATTATTCAAAATTTAATTGTTCATTTTTTAATTAATTGATCAATTTTTCAATTTCCACTTTCTTAGTTTTTCGTTTTTAAATTTGTCTGATTTTTTAATTATTCAATTTTAAAAATATGAGACTTTTCAGTTTTGTAATTTTGTAATTTCTGATGTTTAATTTTATTTTTTACAATTTTTCGATTTCTCAATTGTCCAGTTTTTAATGAATCAGGTCTTCAATTTCTTCATTAATGACGTTACAATGTTGCAATTTTTCAGTTTTACAGTTTAATAATTTTTCGATTTTATAATTATCCAATTTTTCAATTTTGTTTTTTTACAAATTTCCAATTTTTTGATTTTCAATTATTCAAAATTTCAATTTTGATTTTTCAGTTTAAATCTTTTGCAATTTTTCGTTTTTAAAGATATACATGGTTTGGAATTTTTGATTTTCCAAATATCTTAATTTCATCGTTACAATTTCCAGTTTTTCAATAAATGTCATGTTTTTGCAATTTTTCGATTTTTGAATTTAGCAATTTTTCTATTTTATAATTATCTGATTTTTCAATTTCTCGATTTTAAAATTATTCGAACAGCTTAATAATTTTTGGACTTTACAATTATCCACTTTTTCAGTTTTGTAATTTTGCATTTTTTTGTTTTTCGGTTTACATTTTTACAGTTTTTCGATTTTTAATTAATCAATTTTTCAATTTTCAATTATAATTTTTTCGTTTTTTCACTTTTTGGTTTTTTCCGAATTTTCGTAGGTACTTCTCGGTTTTTTCATTCTTTCGATTGTCTGGATTGCTTTGTTTTTTTGTTTTTAGCATTTTATGAGTTTCTTGAGTTTTTTGATTTCTTCGTTTTATTTTTTTTAATGTCAGATTTTTTCCATATTTTTAGCTTTCCGGATGTTTGAATTTTTTTTGTTTTTTTCTTTTGGTATTTTGGATATTTCGAATTTTTTGATTTTTTTGGATTCCCCGGATTTTTGTTTTTTTTCTGTTTTTTTGGATTTTTCAAATTTTTCGGATTTTTTAGAATTATCCATTTTTTTGGATTTCAAACTACTGGAGCTCTCAAGTTTCTTGGGTTTTTAGATTTTTTTAATTTTTTGGATTTTCTGGATGTTTTTAGATTTCAAATTATTGGATCTCTTGAGTTTCTGGGCATTTTTTGGATTTTTCGGATATTACGTTTATTTTTTTAATTTTTGTGATTTGTTTGAATTTTTTTGAATATTTTAAATTCTTTGGATTTTTGGAATTGCTGTATTTCTTGGATTTGTTTTTTATATTTGGATTTTCGTAATTTTTCGGATTTATTTTTTAGATTTTTTTTAGATTGTTTGGATTTTTTGAATTTTTGGAATTCAAATAATTGAATGTTGTTGAGTTTCTAGAATTTTTTTGGCTTTTTTTGGTATTTTGGATTTTCGAATTTTCCGGATACTTTTGATTTTATTGAATTTTAGGTATTCTCTGGTTTTTTCGGATTTTTCTTGAATATTTTGGATTTTTAATTTTTTATAATTTTTTGGATTTCCCCGCATTTTCGTGAATTTGTTAGATTCTTTGGGTTTTTTTAGATTTTCTGGATTTGTTGGATTTGTTGTTTTTATTATTTGGATTTTCCTAATTTTTCGGAATTCTCGGATTTATTTTTGAGATATTTTTTGGATTTTTTTGGACTGTTCGGATTTTTTAGATTTTTTGATTTCAAATTATTGAATCTTTTGAGTTTTTATGGTTTTTCGAATTTTCGAGTTTTCCGGATATTTTTGAATTCCTTGAATTTTTAGGATTCTCTTAATTTTTCGGAAAAACAAACAATTAAAAAATCAAAAAGTTGAAAACCGAAAAATTGTAAAATTATGGAAGTGAAAAATCAAAAACCCAGAAATTTGGAAATTGAAATTTTGGAAAATTAAAAAACAAACAATTAAAAATCGGATCAATGAAATTCGGATAATTGATACATTAAAAATTGAAAAATCAGATATCTTAAAAATCAAAAATTATAAAATAAACTGGAAAATTAAACATTTGAAAATTTAAAATTGAAATTTTGAACAATTAAAAATCAAAAAATCAAAAAATTGTTAAGTTACAAAATCGAAAACTCGAAAATTTATTAAACTGTAAAAATGAAAAAAATTCTTAGATAAACTGAAAAATGGAAAAATCGAGAAAGTGGAAAATGTGACAACTAAACATCAAAATAGAAAAATTGTAGTATCTTCTAGGATAAGATTGATTTTGGCAAATGAGCCTCGCCCACCAACCCTCTTTTGCCAAAATCAGTCTTATCTTAGAAGATACTAGCCCCACCCACCCACCCTCTCTTTTCTTAGAAGGTTTTTCATCTGCCA